TTAAATGTTTATGTGAACATTTACTCTACCTTTGACATGTAACACCTGTAAAATATTATTATATGCTTTACTATAATCAGAGGCGACACGGTGGCTCAGTGGTTAGCACTGTTGCCTCACAGCAAAAAGGTCGCTGGGTCGAGTCCCGGTTGGGTCATTTGGCATTTCTGTGTGGAGTTTGCATGTTCTCCCCGTGTAGGCGTGGGTTTCCTCCGGGTGCTCCAGTGGCTCCAAACACATCAAGACTATAAAGTATTAATTATCAAGCCAAAAAATGTAAACCGAATTATCTATACAGTATTTTTATAAAAGAATATGTGCAAATAAAAATACACACTTTTGTCTTTGCAGACTTTTCGTCTTTGCATTAACTTGTGTTGTATTCCAGTTTTTCTAAGTCGCTTTGGTACACTTTCAGATTTGAAATTTACAAAACTGTAAGTGCATTTCTCAAAACAGCACATACAAATAGCAAAACAGCATGGATTACCTGCAAAAGCCAGACTCATGCCTAAAATCCTTAGTTCATCTCTTGATGAACATGTCAGTGCGGTCAGAATGACAAGTCCCGCATTGTGCACGGATAAGACAGTCCGTCATGTTTAGAGTCTGACCGAATCTGCGGACATTTTTTGCTTTTTCTGCACAGAATTGTGTTAAAAATCTGTGGATTTATGCTGAATTATTTTGTGAGTATCATAACTAAAACCTTATATTAAATAAAAAGCAATAATGTTTTAATGTTAACAATGCAAATCCAATTAGATCCTCTTTATTTTGTAAACAAAGCAAGTCTTTCACATTATATATCTACTAAAAGACAGAAAATATTACTGTACAAACTGTATTGTACATAAATAATATGAACGATTTCATATTAGTCAATAATATTATTGTAAATAATTTAAAAACTGAATAAATATAGATTTACACACATTTACCCAAGTAAATAAACAGAATCAATGATGGGCTGAGACTCTGTGGAATTCTGCATGTGTAGATTATGTGTAGGCCTAGTCATGTTGTCAGTATAACAGTGTACTCTGGAGGGATGTTCTGATGTAAAATGTGGCTAATTTATTTATTTATTTATTTGCTGTTTGTACTGTACTATGTTGACAGATCATGTCATTGTGATACAGAAAAAACGAAGACAGCACTGCATAGGACAAAGAAAAAACAAAACAAAAGTAGAAATGTGAACATGGGACAATCTTCCTTCAGACACACCTCAACTTTATTAGACAACGTCAAGATTGACCTGGGAGCAATCTACCAATTATAGATTTAGAAAAAAAGTCTAATGGAAATGACAAAATATTATGACAACTTGTGCAACTTCTTGTATATATATATATATATATATATATATATATATATATATATATATATATATATATATATATATATATATATATCTTGAAATTAACTTTTTTTTCCTCACCACCCACTGGTCATTTTCACAAGACAAAATTGTGTTGTTGGAAAATGTATTTTATATACTTAAATGTGACTTTTCATTGCTAAAAGTACTTGAGTAAGAGACATTTTCCTTGATTTGGGTCATTAAAATAACTGACTACCAATATTATGATGTAGATACCTGCTGTAGTCAACCTAAAACTTACAGTAGTTTGCCATAAAACCAAAACAAAGGACATTTTTATTAAGCAAATGTTTGAATAACAGTAAGTTCAAGACATGTAAAATATATAGTATATTCTGGTGGTTTTAAACATACAGAATAATAATACAGTTAACGTTATGTAACAACCATAACATTGCCATTATGTGTTAGGACATCTTTGATTAACTTTTTAATTGCCTACACCAAATGTTGACTAATGAAGGTACAATTATAACAACTATTTAGTTGTTAGACTACTTAACTGTCAAACCATGTTGCAAACAAATGCATTCAACAGACTTATGATAGTGTATTGCTGTAGAGGACAAATAAAACACGAGACAGGTGTTTAGAAAGAGTATGGTTTATTGGTTTGACCTGCAAACTTATCTAAACAAGAGAAACGTTCAGAAAACAGCCCGGAAACATTATGATGCACACGCTTATCAATATAACCCGCGGTTGTCTTCAACAGGTGTCTTCAATTAGCTCAACAGCTCTGCTGAAAAACAAAGCATAATATTACAACAGCCAGTTAAAACATTACAGTTGCCATGGTTTCTATTTTAAACTATAGTAAACTAAAGTTTGAAACTATAGTTTAAAATGAGTGGGAGGCCGGTAGTGGGGCCCCGCTGCGAGGGTTATGGTCGGTGAGAGCAGCGGGGCCCCACTACCGGCCTCCCGTGTTTCCCTGAGGGGCTTCCCCGAGTGAAGCTTCACGAAGCGGACTTCGTGAGATTGGCGTGGTTCCACTCGTACCGTCAGGTATTGAACTCACCTTGGTCAATTTCAAACAGCAACAACGAGCGAACTGACAACACTGAGAGAGAACCAACGAGCTTTATAGAAACGCAGATGCAAATTTTTACAAGGCACGTCACTTGTTGTCTAGTTGTCATGGTGAGCGCTGAAGAGAGCACACCTCATTGGCTCGGGACCTTCCGTCACGGCGAGTTGAGGTCGGCTGCGGACAAAAACGTATTAAATATATTGAGTATATATTTTTACATTTTTGGTGCTGTGTATTATTCTGGGATGCAGAAGAATATGGAGACAGATGAATATAATTAAAGACAGATGACCTTAGAACAGAAAGTGCTCTGCTCTGACCAAAATGACTGACCAACTCCTAGTGGTGGTGGTTAAGCTTCTTATTATCCAAGACCTCCATCTAGCGGTCACATAACCTAATAGCATGTTACTTACTACTAACCACCCCCACGGCCAAAGGGTCCAGCATGTGTCCTTTTAATTATTTTATGTAATTTAATATTATATAATATATTTATTATATAATTAATAAAATATATTTAGATTTAATATATATTCCCGTCACGTCTGTGTTTATGAGGCTGTTTGGTCACTTCATTTGTTTTATTCTGATCAGATATCAGATCGCTCAAACCCCTTCAGAAGGTGATCTGGGATGCATTCCAGATGAAACTGAACAGGTGTGATCATTTTTTTAAGCAAAATTAATATAAATAAATTAAATTATGAGCTGGAGCAAATCTGCCCTGCACCTGAAACACCTGTAGGCGCACTTTTACAGCCACAAATCTATTGAAACATGTTTATTATAAACATAAAACATGTGCTAACTCTTCAGGCCTTTAGCCAGGGGGTTCAGAAGACCCACCCTCACTGACAAAGGTCCAGAATTTGTCCCATACATGAGCTCATTTGTCTTATTTTGACTGCTGTGCTATCATAAGTAATGAAAATAATCCATCGAAAAAGGCTTTAAGACCAAACGGAGTCCTCTGTCGGCTGTTGCTTTGGTGGGACTATAATCTGATGTAAGAGAAGTCTTCTTTCACTACTGTATATTGTTCTTATACAGAGAAAACATTTTACAGGGAACTTTTATTCTAAATCTTGGACCTTATTCCTGAAATAAAAATGAGCAATATTAAAGCTGACCATATTAAATAATTTGAATATATTTTGGCTGTTGTTGATATCCAGGAATTTTTAAATGTACTTTTTTTTTTTACCAAAGAGTCTAGAAAAATTCAGAAGAATTCAGTTTTATTATTATTATTATTATGTTTTAATAATTATTTTTTAAAATGGCCAAATTGTGTCTGAGGACAGTTGCATGTGCTGGCCAGTTTGTTTTTTTGTCTAATGAATTATGGTAGGCTACAGTTTTCTACTTTAAAACTTTAACAAATTGCTATTTTTACTTATGATTTATTAGTTAAAAATTATTTTGTTTTCATTTATTTTATTGCAATTTTTGAAAATATTTTTCGTCATTAATAAGTGTGGTTATGAGGACATCTGGATAGTTAATCTGGCAAAAAAAAAAAAAAAAAAAAAATCACTAAAATGCAGTATTTAAATCTCATAGTTAACTACAAACCGAGGCGTATAACTGCAAAAACACCTACTTTTTGAGAAAAAAATAGAACCACCCCTTTCACCAGGCTGACTACGGGTCCATATATATATATACTGTCGCAATTTGGCCATTCATATAAATAAAAGGAAAAATGTGATTACGTTGTTAGCTAATTATAATATATAGCTTTGAAACATTAAATAAATATGCTATATCCAAAAACATTACTATAGTTACAACAACAACAACAACAACCAGAAATGATATTGAAGCAAAGACATAACAGGAGAAAAAGATAAAATAAAAAATTAAATACAAAATAAAAAAATAATAAAAAATTTTAAATGATTACAAAATACTTCTATACATATAAACAAAAATAATAACTTAGGATACAATCATCGACTACAGCGAGGGATCATTACTAGAGAAAAATTCCTTCAAGAAATCTAACATTAAATCATTCTTTTTGTTTTTAATTTGCATTGGAGACTTTTTCAAATTTTCCATTTCTAATAAAAAAATATACATTTCGAAAATGTAGCTTATATATATATATATATATATATATATATATATATATATATATATATATATATATATATATATATATATATATATAGGTAATTGTAAAAGGTGTTAGTGACCTCTTGTGGCGAGTGAGCTGAAATGCACTTTTATGTATTCGTATTTTAATAAACGCCCTACAAGAAGAGATTTGGGCACTGTATTCAGAGACATTAGATCAAACAAATGTATAAATGAATAGAAAAAAATGTGCCAACTACATATTTCATAACATCAGATGTCTGCAATGCTTTATCTTTTTTAATGTTTGTGAACAACAAAGTCTAGTCTTAGCTAAAGATTTAAACATTATTTGCTTTTATAATAAATGTCAGAGAAACACTTTACATCCTGGTTGGGAAATAACACAGAAAAGCAAGAATAAAATAAATCTTAAAATGTTATGTTATATGTCATATTTTCTTGAACGATTGTTGACTTTTATTTTGAAACAATATATAATAATTTCAACCGGAAAAGGAAGCTCCGGACAGTTTTCTGCTACACGTTTGAATGTTGTGGTTCGTATATGTCAACTGTAGTCAAATGACATTATGAATGAATAATAAATGCTTTTATTTCCCTTCAAGTACTCACTCTGAATAGCGTACTTGAGTCGCGATGGCCGTCGTTAGCTTTAGTAAGCATCTGCTGAATGTGACACTGTCGAGGACAATCACAACACACGCTACAGTTTTCAGAGGGCAGCTATGCAGATGTAAAGCACTTTACAGGACAATTAACAACACAAAACGAACATTTCACACATCGCTGACCGCTAATATCTCCAAAATCCTTTCTGTGGACGATATCTTCAGCAAACAGAGCTTCCAGGACTACCTGAAGAAGAAGCAGACGGAGTATAACACAAGTCTGAACTCCATTAACAGTCAAAACCAGACCCTGGAGGACGCTGATATGAAAACACAAAGGACTAACATGACGATACTCGCTCATTTAGTCCATAATATTAAAAAACTAGAAGTTAAACAGAAGGAGATGGAGGATATGCAGGACTTGCTGAAAGGTAGTAAGCCGAAGCACCTTGCTCTTAAAGGGACAGTTCACCCAATAATGAAACTTCAGTCATCATTTACTCACACACTTTTGTTTGGGTTTCTTCTGTTAAACACAAAAGAAGATATTCTGAAAAAGGATGAAAACCTGTAACCATTGACTTCCATAGTATCTGTTTTTCCTACTATGGAAGTCAATGGTTACAGGTTATTAACTTTCTTCAAAATATCTTCTTTTGTGTTCAACAGAAGTGTTGCTCTAAAGCACAGGTCTCAAACTCAATCCCTGGAAAGCCACAGCTCTGCACGTTTTTGTTCTAACTTTAATCAACCACAGCAGATCCAACTAATCAAGATGTTCAAGACTACTATAAACTTAATCAGGTGGGAGTTGGAGCTAAACTATGCAGAGCTGCGGCCCTCCAGGAGTTGAGTTTGAGACCAATGCTTTAAATGAACCCATTTGGGATGTACTTGAGCACAAATGTTTCAAGTGTGACCCTAATTATTTTTTATAATGTTACTGGGTTTGATTAATTAAAATCTATATTTTTATTCAGATTTTGAAATGTTCTTTTATGTATACCATTTTTAAAAAATATATATTCATTTGATTTTTATAAAATGTTAACAAACGAAAGTAAAAAAAGCCAGTAACAATACAAATAGAATATATATATATATATATATATATATATATATATATATATATATATATATATATATATATATATATACAATACAGAATTTATTTAAAAAAACACTCTATAACCCTCATATTGTGCAACACACAGTATGTGATATGCATAAACAATATGCATATATTATAGTATTTACAAGTTACTACACTTTGTTAATACCTGCACAAACATACCGTAGTATAGTTAATTGTTACAACAATAAACTGGTATTGTAGTATAATATAACCTACAGTTGTAGACAGCTACAGTTTTGGGTAATTTATTTACATGATTATAATAGCAACTGTAGAATTACTACAACAGCTTTATTTAGGTATTTTTCTATACAATAGTATACAGTTCATTAGAGCTGTTAAAGGTGTAGTGGGAATGAAAGGAGCTTTCTGGAGGTTGATTTGCATCTCTATCTGTTTTCAGACAATGACCCAGAACTGCTTGAGCTGGCAGAGACTGAGAAGGAAGCCGTTCTGGCAGACATTCAAGATCTCAGACAAAAGGTGAGGCGTGAAACGCTCTCGTTTGCATTTCAGTCGCCTTTATTAAATAAATGAGTTTTGCTGATTGTCGTTCAGAGCTGGAAAAGGCAGAAAGTCAAAAGGCTTTTCTAGGTGAGCAAGGAAGAGTAAAGAGACACTGCAAAAATGCTTTTCTTACTTAGTTTTTAGTCTTGTTTCTAGTCCAAATATCTCAAGATTCATAAATGTAGAAATGTGTTCTACATGAGCAAAATATAGTGTCTTGTTTTAAGACATAATAATAATATAATTAATAATACAAAATAATATTTATATCAATGAAATAATAATATTGATAAATAATATTAATAAAATTACACTGGTTGCCTGTGCACCAAAGAATAGATTTTAAGATACTTTTATTGGTTTATAAAGCACTTCACAACATGACACCTTCCTACATTTCCGACTGTCTATCAAAATATAATCCACACCGTTTTCTACACTCTTCTGGCGCTGGGCTTTTAGAATTTTACTCTGTAAACCTGATGCGATCTGGCGGTGCTTCTTTTAGACATTATGCTCCAAAAATTTGGAACTGTCTCCCTCTTGAAGGGAAAGAATCCCCTAGTATTCATGTTTTTAAAAAGCGTGTTAAGACATATCTTTTTAAAATTGCGTATGAATACACAGCTAAAATAGCTTTTAAGGTGTATGCAATTTATCTATATTGTTGTAGGTTTATGTGTGTATGTATGGTGTGTGCTTGCATATATATAAGGACTATTGTGTGCGTGATCATGTGGATATATGCTTATATTTTGTGTACATGAATGCTTTTATCTGAGTATATGTGACTAGTTTATGTGGTCTGTTTTAATGCTTTTTTGTTGTTTGTAAGGCATTTTTAGTTGCACGTATGTTGGAAAAGTGCTATACAAATAAAATTTATTATTATTTTTATTATATTATTATAACCAATATAGCAAAAGTGTAATGATGTAATCCTATTGAAAATACAATGTTCTGTGTTTCAGATTTTATCTCTTCTTATCCCCGAAGAGGAATCGGACATGAGTGAGCTGGTCCTGGAGGTCTCTGCTGGGGTCGGAGGTCAAGAAGCCATGCTGTTTACCGCAGAGATCTTCGAGATGTACCAGAACTATGCTGCTTTCAATGGCTGGAGCTTTGACGTCCTGGAGGCCAATGCTAGTGAACTAGGTGGACAAATCTATTAGAAATGACACGCATTATCTGCATGGGTGGGTTTGTGTGTGTGGTTGAATATCAAGTGTTGTATCTGATGTGTTTAGGGGGCGTCAGACATGCATCCGCCAGTGTCAGCGGGCCACTCAGCTATAAGAAGTTAAAGTTTGAAGCCGGTGTTCATCGTGTGCAGAGGGTCCCGAAAACAGAGAGTAAAGGCCGCACACACACCAGCACAATGACCGTGGCTATTCTTCCTCAGCCCACAGAGGTACAAACAAATGTATATAAACAGTGAAAGCCAAACTCATTAGCTCCCTTTGTATATTTTATTCTTCAATTTCTGTTTAACGTTGAGATTTTTTTCAAGACATTTCTAAACATAATAGTTTTAAATAACTCATCTCTAATAACTCATTTATTTTATCTTTGCCATGATGACAGTAAATCATATTTTATTTATTTATTTATTTATTTTAACATTTATTTGTGATTATTTTCTCAAGCTTCAACAAAACATTTTGCACTTTCAAGGATGCAATTTTCCCCCCATTTTGAACATTGCCGCCGAAATGAACTAGCAAACAAATAAAATCAAAATACAATTACAACAGGAATAGACAAAAGCACAGCAAAATTGAAAATATTAATAATTGTAAATAAATAAATAAATAAATAAAAAGAATAAAATAATAATAATAGTAAATAAAAAATAAAAAAAACTTTAAAAATAATTCAAATAAATAATTACCTACAGTACATGATAATACAAATCAATATTCTGTTACATTTATCGTGGTCTTTTACATAAATATCAAACTAAACTATATCGTTGATCACAGTTAAACCGGTTATTTATATAAATCAGTTAAAAGAGAGAGTTCTTCAAAATATGTGATCATAGGTTGTCTCATAAAATTTTTGGACAGATCCCTTCATTAAATACTTAATTTTCTCTAATTTCAAATATAAAATCAGATCACACATCCACATTGAAGCTTTAGGTGAAGCTGCAGATTTCCACTCAAGTAGTATTCTTCACCTTGCTAACAAAGTAGCGAAGGCGCATACATTTTTTGTCTTGTTTGTCAACAATATATTGTGTTCTGGTACCCCAAAGATGACAGTAAATAATATTTGACTAGATATTTTTCTGAACAGCTTAAAGTGACATTTAAAGGCTTAACTAGGTGAATTAAGCTAACTAGGCAGGTTAGGATAATTAAGCAAGTTATTGTATAAGGATGTTTTATTCTGTAGACTATTGAAACAATAATATAAGCTTAAAGGGGCTAATAATTTTGACCTTAAAATGTTTTTAAAAAAATTAAAACCTGCTTTTATTCTAGCCAAAATAAAACAAATAAGACTTTCTCCAGAAGAAAAAATATTATCAAACATACTGTGAATTTCACTGCCCTGTTAAACATCACTTGGGAAATATTTAAAAAAAGAGAATATATATATATATATAAATATATATTCAGTTAATATTATGTATTTCATCCATGATGCGACGGCAAGCACAGGCCAGCAGTGCCAGTGCGTTTACCACAGACCAGCTAGAGTCAATTCGGTGGATGGGGATGAAGAAGAATAGAGGGCAGTGGGGTGTTCTTCAAAACTGTAATTCAAGCTGCAAATCTATATGGTATATGCCTGGTATGAACTGGAATTTTTCAAAATATAAATATCCTCTCATTCATTCAATCATTCATTCATTCATTCATTCATTCATTCATTTTCTTTTCGGCTTAGTCCCTTTATTAAACAATGGTCGCCACAGCAGAATGAACCGCCAACGTATCCACTCTATAAATATCCTCTCTTTCTATAAATTTCGTAAAATACATATAAATATGCTAATATACACATTATATCATATACAATATATATTATAATAAATGAAATCCAGGTCAAACCAAGTCCTTAAAATCACTGTCTATAATTTAAAACCACCCTCTAACATCTACAGTTGCTGGAGTTTATAGTTGTCATTTTCTTTTTTTGTTCAGTTTTTGTAGTTATCCATCTTTTAACATGACTATAAGCATGAACATGCTTTAAAAACTTGTACAATAAGGTTACAATATATTGTCATTTACAAAAAAGCAGATGGATGAATGGATGTTTACATTAGATGTTGTTTTTAAATACAGAAAGACGTCCGGTTGGATGACATGGTTGTATTGTTGCCTTTCACTTTACATTCATAGATCTCATTCACCATCAACCCCAAAGACCTGAAGATTGAGACCAAGAGAGCGAGTGGCGCAGGAGGACAGCATGTGAACACCACCGACAGTGCGGTCAGGATCACACACCTGCCCACAGGTGAGGGAAATATACTGTATGACCCTAGAGCACAAAAACCTGCCACTTTTGTTTTAGTTTCATTTGCTGATATACAGTTGAAAACAGGATTATTAGCCCTCCTGAATTATTAGCCCCCTTGCATATCACCCCCCCCCCCTCCCACCAAATTTATGTTGAACAGAGAGCAGATTTTTTCAACACATTTCTAAACATAATAGTTTTAATAACTCAGTTTTAATAACTAATTTCTTTTATCACTGCCATGATGACAGTGAATAATATTTGACTAGATATATTTCAAAGTACAGGTAGTTAGTTTCCTCATTTTGTTTATCGTTTGACTGTTAAGTTGCATTCATATTAGTGATGGGTCGTTCATGAACAATTCTTTCATTTTGAACGAATCTTCTATATAACTCGGGAACCACGAGTCCTCTCAGGGAGTGATTCGTTCATCCGCGCGTGCGCACATTTGTGCAGGTAGTATCGTTAATTTCAAGTCTTCATCACATTGGCAGAAGCCAATCATATGCTTTTAGAGCCGGAAAAAGAATTGATCGGCTCACTTCTCGAGTCCTCTATCGGGTCTGAGTCACTCGTTCATCACGAGCCAATCATAAGCGTTTAGAGCCGAAAAAAGAATTGATCTGCTCACCTCTCGAGTCCTCTATCGGGTCTGAGTCACTCCTTCATCACGAGCCAATCATAAGCGTTTAGAGCCGGAAAAAGAATTGAACCGTTCATCTCGAGTCCTCGGGTTTGAGTCATTCTGTCACTTGATAAACGAACTATCATGGCTCCTATCGGCTTAGACTGTGCATTGATTAAGATTATATGTGACCGTCAGTGTAACGTGAATGAACCCTTGACATTTGAAGACATGAAGAGGTGAGCTGAGCAAAGAGACAAAAATGCCTTCATAGACAAAAGAGCAGGTAAAAACTGAATTATTATTTTCTCCTTCTTATATTCTATTTATGACTTATTTGTCGTGTGATCAACCTTTTGGGCTAGTTGTAGATGTGTTTGGAAGCAATTTGTAACATTTTAAATATAATTTGGCAAATTGAACTAAATGAACGAAATGACTCGAAAAAAGATTCGTTCATCTTGATGAACGAGACTCAAAGATCCGAGTCAGTAAAATGATCCGAACTTCCCATCACTTATTCATAGGGATGTAACAATATTGTAAATACCGTAATACCGAAAAAATGTTTTTTTTCAATAATACCGTGGGCGCATGACTCAATAAAACTATATTTCTGAGAAAAGTTTGCTTAGGCGAATGAAGCGAACGGGAGGTAGCAGGAACTACAATTCCCATCAGCCCAGGCGTGGCCATCATCCTTTACGGTCTGTTGTCACTACAGATCCAGTAATGCGGAAATGGAGTGTTTTGCTAGTAGTGGGGAAGAAAAAGAGCTGAAAATGATCGAACCTAAAGCGGGTTTTAAATCGGATGTGTGGAAGCATTTCGGTTTCTCTCTAAAAAGATACGAAAAAGGAGAAAAGGTGACAGACAAAGAAAAAAACGGTATGCAGGCACTGCCAGACTGTGGTGAAATATAAGTCGGGGAATACGACTAAAACCAGTCATGGGGACTGCAGAACACAGCACACTTGTTAGATTGATGCAGACATTGACTTGTACCGCAAAGAGATCTCTATCTCACTCATGGCTTGTCCTCTCAAGTGGTGGAAAGACGATGCACATCGTTACCCACTGCTGTCTACCTTGGCTAAATCATATCTCTCTGTCCCAGAAACCTCAGTCCTAAATGAGAGGGTTTTTTTTTCTGTTGCAGGAGACATGCCCAGAGATCCCAGCTTTCACCAGATTATAGTTAAATAATTTTCCTTAAAAAAACCCATCTCTATCTAAGTGAGTGAGTGATTAAATGTTTAATGTGATGGGTTTTCAACAATAATAAATTGAAACTTTGTTTATTTCTTTTTTACATGGTTTAATAGTTTTTTGTTATCAAAATTGAAAAAGTTCCTGTTTCAAAGCTTACAGATAGATGGCTTATTTGTATGTCATTGATATGTTCAGTGCTAAGGTAAATAAACACTTTTGGCACTTTTTTCGGGTCTTTTCATTAGTTTTGTTGTTTCTGTAAATGATTCAATAAATACCGTACCGTGCCATTCATACCGAGGTATTACCGTACCGTGAAATTCTGATACCGTTACATCCCTACTTATTCATATTGCTTGTCTGGTGTGTAGTGTACGTAATTGAATGCTATTATAAAGCATGCCTGCAGTGAAATAAAGAGTTTTAGGTAAAAAATAAATACAAATATATTTATCTATAATCAGTTCTCATGTTCATTTATGTCATTGTGAATTAAAAGGATCAGAAATTTGTCATGATTTCAGGCACGGTTGCTGAATGTCAGCAGGAACGCTCTCAGATCAAGAACAAAGATACAGCCATGAAATTACTGCGAGCCAAACTCTACAGCGCGCGGCTGGAGGAGGAGACCAGCAGGAGATATCAGGCCCGAAAACTACAGGTGCAAGCCCTCAGTTCACTATTCACTTTTTTCTCATTATTGCGGCTGTTCAGTCGAGGAGTCACTATTTTAGCCTGCCCAGTTTGCCTTTTCTGGGATGAAAACTAAAAGACACCCAGTCTCATTCAATAAACATATATACGCAGAATTATTTAGCATAAAATCATTAATTCGTTCATTCATTCTTTTTCCTTCGGCTTGGTCCCTTTATTCATCAGGGTTCACCACAGCGGAATGAACTGCCAACTTATCCAGCATATGTTTTAAGCAGCGGATGCCCTTCCAGCTGCAACCCAGTACTGGAAAACATCCATAGACACTCATTTACACTCACACACTAAGGACAATTTAGTTTATTCAATTCCCCTATAGTGCATGTGTTTGGACTGTGGGGGAAACCGGAGCCCAACCCACGCCAGCACGGGGAGAACATGCAAACTCCACACAGAAATTTATCGGGGGTCATCACAGCGGAATGAACCGCCAACTATTCCAGCATATGTTTTATGCAGCGCATGTCCTTTCAACGATGTACAGGAGGCTTTAATTTACATTTGACTGAAAACTTTTAGTCAGAATTGGCCAGGGGTAGGCTATGAATCATTTCAGGCTTGACCAGGGATGGGCAAACTGGATCCTCGAGGGCCGGTGTCCCTGCAGAGTTTTGTTCCAACACTAGTTAAACACACCTGCTTATAGATATCTAGTGATCTTAAAGACACTGATTCGCATGTTCAGGTGTGTTTGATCAGTGTTGCAGCTAAACTGTGCAGGACACCGGCCCTCCAGGACCGAGATTGCCCACCCCTGGGCTTGACTACATACAGTGGGGGAAGTATATAGTGTTTTTTTTCTGGGAATAATATTTCGAAAGGAGCTGCTGACATGGTATTGAAGCAGATTTTGGTAAAAACCCAAACAATACAAGCATGAAAATAAAACAAAACAAAACAATCAGAGACATGAGTTGTGTGTAATAACAATAAAATTACAGAAGAAGAAAATACTGAACTACTGAAATGTATTTAACACTTTAAAGAAAAGTCTTTTTTGGTTCTGGCAGCTTAAAGACGCTTCTCATAATGAAGTGACGGGCATTGCTCAGGTGTGAGTTTTTCATAGATTTCATCAGTGTGTCAAAACCTTGATGGTTCTGTGGGTCTCGTCTATCAAATCTGAGCTTTATTTTGTATTCTCTATTGAATTCAGATCAGGTGATTGGCTGGGCCATTCTACAGCTTGATTTTCTTTCTCTGAAAGCATTTGAGAGTGTTCTTGGCTGTGTTTTGGATCATTGTCTTGCTGAAATGTCCACTCTGGTTTCATCTTCATCCTCCTGCTGATGTAGATGTTGGACTGAAGCAGCTGATATTCATTTACACTGAGGAAGGGCAGATGGTTGCTGAAGATTTCAGCTGCTGTCTGGGCTTTCACTGCCTTTCTACACCTCCCTTTCTTCATGTGTTCAAAACCCTTTTCCCTGCGTCTTTTTGTTTTATTATGCATAACTTCATTTGTAAACTAATTAGTTTTGTTTTCTTAGCATATATATGGATTTCTTTGGTTGTTACCAACCTCCGGTGAAGATTTCAAGTCAACAAAAACCTTTAGAAATATCATATTGACTAAAAGAGCTGTAGAGTTGACTGTTGATTTAGAATTTACTGTCTAATAATTGTGTTAAGTTTAAGTAATCTGTACTTCTCTTGTGACAGATCGGCACCAGAGGCAGATCAGAGAAAATCAGGACCTATAACTTTCAGCAGGACCGAATCACAGATCACAGAATCGGAAAAACCGTTCATGACGTTCATGGATTTTTACAAGGCGAGGAACTGCTGGAGGAGATGATCGTGTTTTTACAGCAGTTTTCTGAGCAGGAGTCGCTCATGGACGTCCTTGACAGTGAACTGAATCTGTAGTTAATTCTGAAAATAAAAGAAATGTGTGAATGTTTATCTTTGTGGGTGTCAGATTTAATAAAGAGCACAACCGTCTAGACTGATGCCCCGTTCACACTAATGCATTTTAGTTTGAAAACGCATAAGTTTTGCGACAGTTACGCCATCCGTCCACACTACGCCGGAGTTTTTGAGCGCTGAAAGCGGAGCGTTTTGGAAACCCTGGAGAGGCCGTTTTCATTCTGAAACGCTGCTGCTCAGTCTCAGTGTGGATGGGGGAAAACGGAGACATCTGAAAACAGAGGCGGGACTGCTGAGATTCGCTACCTGATTGGGGCTTTTGTGTCATTGCGTATCCTTCCCTTATTCGTCAAGCCCCTATCACATAACTATAACACATGGCTTTAACGTTACCGGAAGACAGCAGAGCAGCCTTCACTGTAAACAACAACATGGGCACAGAAATGGGAGCGTTGTTTGCACTATTGTCTGTTTTAGGCGCCATTGTGCAGTTATTCATTTGTTATGTTTAGTAACAACTTGACCTCGTCGTCTGTCCACAAAAATACCGACGTGTAACCAAGAAATTTTGGTTTCTTTGCCATCGCGTTTAATGTTCAACCGGCGTTTGTTGACTAACAACAACCAAATGCCGAGCGAGACGCATGCTTTCTGTTTATAATAGAACGCGCATGCCCAGAGTGCGCGAATGGTCATGTGATATATGTTTTTGGTGGCGTAGTGTGGACGGAGATATGTTCAGAAACGCTAGGTGAAACGCTAGTGTGGACATGAATCGTTTTTGATCTAACACGCCGTTTTATAACTAAAACGCACTAGTGTAAACGGGGCCTGAGAAAAACAGAGCGGTATTTCACATAGTACCTCTGAGGAGCTTCGCAAACACTCTTTGCTTTCTCTTGAGCGTTGCACATTGGTGTGAAATGCTCTGTGTGTTTATTTTACAGTCAGTTTTTGCATTTCCAGTTGCTTGAATCGACAGAATACAGAACAAATCACATTTCAGAAATTAAACTAATTATCAAACTTACAGATCAAAAATGTGTAGTAACACTTCAAAAAGGATTCATTTGTTAATATTCGATAATACATTAGCTAACAACACACATGAACAAATACTAAAGTAATGTGTAGTAAAGTCGATAGTGATTTAAAACCATTCTGCAGTAAAGTACTTGAATTAACCTGGTAATTCTGTAGTAATATACAAAAACTATAGTAATATAAAAAGATAATATTAGGTTTGCTATGTGTCATACTACAACACAAAACAGTTTAGTGTTGTAAAAACTAAAGTAGACTATAGTGTTAAGTTGATTGGTTCACTGTAGTTAATCCTACAGTATGCTGGAGTATTCATTAACAAAGTATTGTAAATATTATAATATTTACCAGGGCTGCACAATATATTGTATGAGCATCGATATCGCAATGTGTGCCATAGTGCACAATAGTAACAGATGCAATGTTGAGTTGAGATTAGTTTAACCAGAATCCACAGGTCAAAACACATGAGATTTGTGGAGACACTGCAGAATTTAACCATTATAGTTGGTACGCGGGCTTCCATCTAGTGGTATGCAGAGGAATCAAATATGTTATATTTACATCCTATATATTTAAAAAGTATATCAAAAATGATTTAGCCTATATATGAATATGGTGACATATAGCCTGTATTTATGAGGACCAGGCAATATTAGCAGTTGTTGGTAAATAGGCTGCTATATGGTAATACTTTACATTAAATTTTTTTTTTTTTTTTTTTAAACAGTAACCTACCATTTTTAACTTTTAAAAGCACATTTTAGTTTAAATGTTGACGTTTTTTGTTGTGTTTTTTCTTCTTCTTTTTTTTACATATAACCACAGTGCAGTGTTAATGTTCAAACTATTTATAATGTTTAAAGTGGCTGACAGTAATAAATATTCTTAATAATAAGAATTAATCTGCTTCGTTTTTGAACGGCACAGAGCTTTAGCTGCTTTATAGGCCTACTACACTACTGTATTTCAATACTGGTCAGTCTGGTGGTACTTGCAGAGACCATTTTTTTTCTGAGGTCGCACTTGATAAAAAAAGTTTGAGACCCACAGTACTACAGTATTCAGTTGATCAGTTCTGTAGTTAATGCTACAGTATGATGGAGTATTTAACAAAGTGTTCTATAGTGGGGTTCAGAAATAGGTAGTTTTATTTTAGGAATGCAATGTTTTTACAGCATTTATATTAGTTATCCTTAGTAGAAAAATAGTTTTCATGATACTTTACTGTGTACTGTCTAATCTTAAATGCATCTTTTGCTTTTAATACTGGCGGTTCATTCCACTGCGGTGATCCCAGGTTAATAAAGGGACTTAGCCGAAGAGAAAATGAACGAATGAATGATTTTGATACTGTCAGTAAATGTTTAAACTAACTTAGCTGATGCTAATAACTTAATTAAAATTTATATATGCTGTAGAAGTGTTTTTATTTTAGTTTATGTCAACTGATGTTAACAAAGCTTAATATGAGGGGTTATTAAAATATTGTAGAGATGAAAATAACTAACTACTATTACATAACTACCTTTTTATCACTTCAAAACCTGAAAACCACACACACACACACACACACACACACACACCCATGAACATACAGAGCTTTAGCTGCTTTATAGGCCTACTATGCTACTGTATTTCAATACTGGTCAGTATCGTGGTACTTGGAGAGTACTTTTTTTTCTGAGGTTGCACTTTATAAATAAAGTTTGAGAACCACAGTACTACATTCAGTTGATCAGTTCTGTAGTTAATGCTACAGTATGCTGGAGTATGGTGTTGGAAGTGTTTTACAGTGGGGTTTAGAAATAGGTAGTTTTATTTTAGGAATGCAAAGTTTTTACAGCTTTTATCTTAGTTAACATGAGTAATAACTAGTTTTCATGGTACTTTACTGTGTAGTATCCAATCATAAATACATCTTTTGCTTTTAATACTGGCGGTTCATTCCACTGTGGTGACCCCTGGTTAATAAAGGGACATAGCCGAAAAGAAAATGAACGAATGAATGATTTTAATACTGTCAGTAAATGTTTAAACTAATTTAGTTGATGCTAATAACTTAATTAAAATTAATAAATGCTGTAGAAGTGTTTTTAATTTAGTTCATGTGAACTGATGTCAACAAAGCTTAATATGAGGGGTTATTAAAATATTGTAGAGATGAAAATAACTAACTACTATTACATAACTACCTTTTTATCACTTCAAAACCTGAAAACCACACACACACACACACACACACACACACACCCATGAACATACAGAGCTTTAGCTGCTTTATAGGCCTACTATGCTACTGTATTTCAATACTGGTCAGTATCGTGGTACTTGGAGAGTACATTTTTTTTCTGAGGTCGCACTTTATAAATAAAGTTTGAGAACCACAGTACTACATTCAGTTGATCAGTTCTGTAGTTAATACTACAGTATGCTGGAGTATGGTGTTGGAAGTGTTTTACAGTGGGGTTTAGAAATAGGTAGTTTTATTTTAGGAATGCAAAGTTTTTACAGCTTTTATCTTAGTTAACATGAGTAATAACTAGTTTTCATGGTACTTTACTGTGTAGTATCCAATCATAAATACATCTTTTGCTTTTAATACTGGCGGTTCATTCCACTGTGGTGACCCTTGGTTAATAAAGGGACATAGCTGAAAAGAAAATGAACGAATGAATGATTTTAATACTGTCAGTAAATGTTTAAACTAACTTAGCTGATGCTAATAACTTAATTAAAATGTATATTTGCTGTAGAAGTGTTTTTATTTTAGTTCATGTGAACTGATGTTAACAAAGCTTAATATGAGGGGTTGTTAAAATATTGTAGAGATGAAAATAACTAACTACTATTACACAACTACCTTTTTATCACTTCAAAACCTGAAAACCACACACACACACACACACACACACACACACACACACACACACACACACACATGAACATACAGAGCTTTAGCTGCTTTATAGGCCTACTATGCTACTGTATTTCAATACTGGTCAGTATCGTGGTACTTGGAGAGTACTTTTTATTCTGAGGTTGCACTTTATAAATAAAGTGAAAACCACATTACTGCAGTATTCAGTTGATCAGTTCTGTAGTTAATACTACAGTATGCTGGAGAATGGTGTTGGAAGTGTTTTACAGTGGGGTTTAGAAATAGGTAGTTTTATTTTAGGAATGCAATGTTTTTACAGCTTTTATCTTAGTTAACATGAGTAATAACTAGTTTTCATGGTACTTTACTGTGTAGTATCCAATCTTAAATACATCTTTTGCTTTTAATACTGGCGGTTCATTCCACTGTGGTGACCCTTGGTTAATAAAGGGACTTAGCCGAAAAGAAAATGAATGATTTTAATACTGTCAGTAAATGTTTAAACTAATTTAGTTGATGCTAATAACTTAATTAAAATTTATATTTGCTGTAGAAGTGTTTTTAATTTAGTTCATGTGAACTGATGTTAACAAAGCTTAATATGAGGGGTTATTAAAATATTGTAAAGATGAAAATAACTAACAATTATTACATAACTACGTTTTTATCTCTTCAAAACCTGAAAAGCACACACACACCCATGATTCCCTAATATTACCAGTATGTTTTGGCTGTGACATGCACATTATACACACACACACACGCTTGATTAAACTAAAAACAATGCACATTTAAAGTCCACATTATCGATTTATTTCAAAAAGGGCGCTTTTTTCCCTGAAGCGCTTCTTTCATTGGGTGGCGCTCTTTATGGGCGATGACGTTACGCTTGTATCTGCGTCATGACGTCACATCTGTATTCCGCCAAACGCGTTCATTGGCCGTGAGACCTTTAAAGGTATCTTGCAGCGCTCTGATTGGTCGGCGCGATTTGTCGCCAAATTCAAATCCATTAGCAGTGGCGCTTTTTCCTCAAACTCACAAACCATTGTGTTGCCGCTTAAATGCTTGAGCTACCACTGCAATAGCGACAAGGGCGCGTTTATACGGACATATGAGGACGACGTAAATATTGATTTTAACTTTTTAGAGGTAAGATAATAACGTTTTCCTGTCATATCCACGTATTTCCGTTAAAATTAAGACTTTTAAGAGGCTTTTAAATCAGTAGATACTAGATGTTCTGTCATGTTTGCGTTTCCCTTTTAAGTTATAAGCTCAGTTTTAGGTGTAGAATTGCGTTTTTGTTCAATATTAGTCAACTATTTTTTATCTAGAACGTATTTTATGTGTATAAACATATTTTGTAGAGTATGCTAAAGCTAATATGTGCCCTTAGTAGTGTACATCATGAGTTGTAGCCACGTCAGGAATGCAAGCATTAGGCGCGCAAAATGCAAAACGCACATAAATCGCGTTCAAATAAAAACTGCACTTCTTTAACTTTTAAGCACACTTAATATTAAGCATATGTATATATTTTAACATGCATATATAATCACAATGTCTTAAAATGTGAGGTCAAACTAATGTGCTCCGATTGGAGCATAAAAATGTGGAGTAAGTTAACATTTATTACGTAATACAGTTCTTAATATGTATTATTTTACTATGTTTATGTGTTAGACTCATAACACATCATTATAATCAGTAATGTGTATGTATTTTAACATGCATGTATAACTGGTGTAGCTATAAATGAGAAGTCAGGCTAATGTGCTTGGTTTTAAGCATAAAAAAGTGGATTGAGTAACATTTATTACGTAATATAGTTCTTAATATGCATTTAATGTGTATTATGTATTAGACCCATAACACATTACAATAAGCCCTTTATTGTTATATGTTTAATGTTATAGTACTTTATTAATATATTAATTTATTTCAGTAATGTATTAATGTATCAGAAATAAACATTTGTTCATCGGTTTCTCTTGTCTTGTGTTTTGCTGTAATGGCATTATATTGTTTATTTTCAGTAGTTGTATGCTGTAAAAATGTGTAACCAGTTTTTTTTGATCCAACACTCTTTAAAATGTAGTTTGCTGTAAAATAAAATTTGTATATGCATATTTATCAATTTCTTATTTTCTGTACTTTGCTGTAAAATTGACATAACTATATCTTACTATATATATTTGATCTATATAGACCAATAGATGCAGATTCAACCATTTACCTGGCACACTTAAACATCATATTTCTCATATTCTGTAGTTTGCTGTAAAATTATGACATAACCAGATTTAACCACATATATTTGATCTATATAGACCTATAGATGCAGATTTAACCATTGGTTAAACACACTATATCATATGTATAACCAAATCTAACCATATATATTTGATTTTTATAGACCTGTAGATGCAGATTCAACAATTTATCCAACACTTAAGTACCATATATTCATCATCTGTAGTTTGTTGTAAAATTATGACGTATAAATCTAACCATATGTATTTGATCTGTAGATGCAGACTAATAAAAGGCTATATTCCCAACAGATGGCAAACAGAATGGGATCAGTGCCCGGATAATAAACTTTTTGAAATTTAGCCAGAAATAGGAAGAAAATATAATATATAATTTATTTTTTAAGTAACGACATGATGAGATTGCTTATACAAGATGCTGCATTGGACACAAGACTCACACATGAACATTTACTCAAAGGAGGAGAGCCCCCAAATTTTCTATATTTCAACAGAAACCAAACCAAATATTCTTGTGGAATGCCCCATTTTTAATGTTATCAGACAACAATTTTTATCTGGAGAGACTTTAAATGAAATATTTTTTAAATGTGAATCCATTTAAAATTTTTATTACAAGGAAACCTTAAACTGTTTTAGATTTTTTTTTATCTTATTATGATTATTATTATTAATTTATTTTACCTTTTTTATTTATTGCTGTTGATGATTTTTAATTGTTAGAATATTTTTATAACTATAGAAAATCGGTATTTATAACATATGGTAAACTTAATCTGTTTTTTTTTTTTTTTTTTTTTGCCATGACATAGCAATAGAAGCTGAAATGACAATAAAATTAAAACTCTTTAACGTCAAATTATTTTTTTCCTCGCTAGGTTCAACGCTAAGAATTGTTTCTACTTGTCCGATCGGGCCAATGGTTCAGATTTTTACTTGCCCTGCCAAATTTTCCACTGGCACCACCAAAAAATTTGTAATTTAATAGCTATTTTATAGCCACATGTTTTAAATAGTGTGTCAAATAATGTCTATAATTATTTAAATGTTGAAAATGAGCAAAATGATGTGTTAACAAAACAAAAAGAGCAGTAGGATGATCTTTATATATGATCTATATATATATATATATATATATATATATATATATATATATATATATATGTGTATATGTGTGTCTATATATATATATATATATATATATATATATATATATATATATATATATATATATAGACCTATATATGCATGTGTAACCATTTTTCTAACACGCTTAAAGGTCATATTTCTTATTTTCAGTACTTTGCTGTAAAATAATGTATGCACAATTAACCATTTATCCAACTAGCATCAACATGTCTTATTTCATTACTCTCTTCTAGTTTGCTGGTGTCCAAATTCTCCTCAATATGAAGTGTCCAAACTACACTGAGGATTCCACGGTTTTATGCCACATGGAGAAGACTGAAACAGACCTGGGTGAGGTGAAGGGCCATAAGGTTTCGCCACGAAAAACAGGAGCCCTCCCCCTGCGCTCCCCCGCAGCCACCAATGTCTCCACACCTCTGGAGAGCCGAAGCAAAGGCCCCCATAATAAAGAAAACTACCAGAACAAGAGACATTCACTGGATATGGCATCAGATGATGAGGTGAAACGACAATCATTTTTAGCCGTGTGTACATGTGGGACGCGTGTTAAATCTTTATATTCTGCACTATTTGTGTGTGTGTTTGTTTTGGTGGTGTAAAAAGACAGAATTTATATGATGACATGGGTATGACCTAGGCTGCGTTGCACTCCACTTTTAGAAATGCACTTGTGAACTTCTCCATTTTTTTCCCTAGAGGGAGTCCTGTCACCATTTTGAAGTGTTCCATTTTATCAAGTGAACAAGGGAAGCATGCATAGGCATACCCTCAATTTTGACTGAGGGAGTGAGTCGGCTTCATATGTCCATTCTATCACCTGTATCTCCCATAATGCAATGCGATAGTGATGTCACGACCGAGTAGTTCCCAAGTGCTCAAGGGTTTAGAGCACTTGATTTAAACCCATTCACATGTTCCAAATTCTAATTTTATTCATCAAATATCCATTAAAATGCTTGCACAACCACTCATGACCTTAAAAATTATAACAATCAGAATTTTAATTGTGGATAAATAGAAGTTATGCAATAGCAAATATAAGGGTTAAGGACTTCAGATATCGAGTGTATGGCTGTATGAAACGGTATAAAAATATAAAAGAGCTATCTTTTATATCTAAAATATAAAAGGGCTGTTCAGTAGTGCTGTATTTCTCAACCATGTGCCTGAAGGCCCACCAGCTCTGCACATTTTCCATGTCTCCACAACCAAACATGCCTGATTCTGATCATTAGCAGAGACTGAAAAACCTGTTAATGGGTGACACAAATGAGACCTCCAAAACAGGGTGTCGGTGGTCCTCCAGGATCGTGGTTGAGAAACACTGCAGTATTAAACACTTGCGTAACTATCAATGATGTACATCGGAGAAGAAAAAATGGGTGGGTGGGGGAATAGTTAACAAGTGAAGTGCGTTTAAAAAAATTTGACTGGAATTTTGGTCTTTGTTGTCCTCCAAGTTGGTTTACAAGGACATGTCTTCATAATTCAAAATGCTTAAATCAGGGGTGTCCAAACTTGATTCTGGAGGGCCGGTGTCCTTCTGATTTTAGCTCCAACTTGTTTCAACGCACCTGCAAGGAAGTTTCTAGTATAACTAGTAAGAGATTGATTAGCTGGTTCAGGTGTGTTTGAGGGTTGGAGCAAAACTTTTCAGGACACTAGGACCGAGTTTGGTTACCCATGGCTTAAATCACAGGTGTCAAACTCAGTTCCAAAAGGGCCGCAGCTCTGCACAGTTTAGTTCCAACCCTAATTAAACACACCTGATCAAACTATTTGAGTCCTTCAGGCTTATTTGAAACCTACAGGTAAGTGTGTTGGAGCAGGGTTGGAACTAAACTGTGCAGGGCTTCGGCCCTTCAGGAATTGAGTTTGACACCCCTGCCTTAAATCATACTTAAAGTCTTTTCACATACAAAAATATGCCACCCGTTTCCTGTGAGGGTTGGGTTTTGGTAGAGTAAGGCCATATAATAGATTTTTTTTTATGTATAAAATACATTAAGCCTATAGACTAGATGGTCCTCATAAACTACCAATATCAGTGTCTTTCGTATTCATCTATTTATGTATAGACTAAATTTGAATGCACGTCATATTTTGCCTGCACCCTAAACATAGCTAGAGCTGTGCAATTTGACTATATATATCGTATGGACAAATTAAGTATATATTTTCTTATTGTACTTTTGTTTATTCTGTAACAAAATATATTGTTTATAGTATCAAGTTGCATAATTTTATGAGCGCAATATTACATACCATTACATGGATGAAGACATAAATGACAGCATCATGAAAGTACATTTTGAAAGTACAAGTTAGAAATGTTTAAATATGAATGCGTTTCTGACTATATAATTTTAAATTGTAAAAAAAGAGTTTTATTTATTTTCGCATGTGGTCAGTGTGTGTGTGTATTCATTGTTGCTCTTATAGTTGTGTAAATTGCTTCCTTGTCCTCATTTGTAAGTCGCTTTGGATAAAAGCGTCTGCTAAATGTAAATATATAAACTTTATTGAATTTAATTTACAGATATGGTTATACAGCATCGTGAGTTTCAACTTTGAAAGTATAACTGGTGGATATGCAATCATTATCAATGATCATTATTTTCCACATTGAACAATAACGATATGTATTTCGATATAAATATATAATTATAAATATATATATATATTTATAATTAGGTTTTGGAGTGTAATATATATTTATTTACTAATTAATTTATTATAAATAAATCAAATATTTGCCCTTAAGTTATAAATGGTTAGAAGTGAGTAAATTGTGTTTATGTATATATAAACTAATTTGATAAATTTGCAGAAATTTACTATGTGGTTAAAGTCAGAATTATTAGCCCTCCTGAATTATTACCCCCTGTTTGTTTTTGTTTTTTCTCAAGTTCTGTTTAACGGAGAGATTTTTTTTTTCCAACGCATTTCTAAACATAATTGTTTTAATAACTTATTTCTAATAATAACTGATTTATTTTATCTTCATCATGATGACAGTAAATAATATTTGACTGGATATTTTTCAAGACACTTCTATACAGCTTAAAGTGACATTTAAAGGCTTAACTCGGTTAATTAGGTTAACAAGGCAAGTTGTTGTATAATGATGTTTTGTTCTGTAGAATATCTAAAAAATAGCTTAAAGGGGCTAATAATTTTGTCCTTTTAAAATGCTGTTAAAAAATTAAAAACTGATTTTATTCTCGCTGAAATAAAACAAAACACTTTCTTTAGAAGAAAAAATATTATCAGACATGCTGTGAAAATTTTCTTGCTCTGTTAAACATCATTTGGGAAATATTTAAAAAATAAAATAAAATTCAAAGGGGGGGGCTAATAATTCTGACTTCATCTGTTGATAGTGTTATGTTAATGTAAGATTTATCATCACGCAGTGCTAATCCTGCACACATGTGGATTTTTGATGTGGCAATAAAAGTGAATGTATTTATTTTGTTTTCATTAGGTGATCTTCAGTGGCAGCGGCCTGACCGAAGACAGCGGTTACCTTTCCCTCCATAACAGCCAGGTGGACGTGGACGGACTGGACTCATTAGAGAGGAGTGAAGAGAATTGTGTGTCCTCTCAATCCTTGGACGTTGAGTGTCATTCTGGACCCTGTTTACCTGTGCTGAACTTCCAGGAGGAGGCCTGCCGAGAGCTGCAGAGGAGCTACAAGAAGAACCGAAGCTACGATTGGACCGTCGTCGATAAAGTGGCGGAGAATTTTGGGTTGCATAATGTGATTGGTGGAAAAATGGGACGGCAGTTCGTGGATATCCTCTGCAAGCTGATGAGGAAGGACATGAGGCACATTCTTGCCAGGATTTTGGGCCTGCTGGGAGATTGTGACTTGATAAGGTACGCTCCATTTTTATATTATTGTATTTTTCTTGTATAAATGTTTTTACTGCTATTGCTGACATTGCATTACATTAAAATACAGTTCAAGTCATAATTAGCCCTCCTGTATATTTTTCCTCTATATTTTTATATATTTTTTCAACACATTTCTAAAGATAATAGTTTTAATAACTCATTTCTAATAACTGATTTATTTTATCTTTGATATGATGACGGTACATAATATTTGACCATAGATATATACACTAGATATCGCATAGGGACCCTGAGCATGCGTCAATAGGCCGCCATATTGGTACAGTGCTCCCAGGACAAGTGTCATTCAACCGCACTAGACAAGACAGTGTTATTACGTGAAAATGCGGGACTTTAGCGCTGTCTACGGGTGTAGTAACAAGCAAACAAGGAAAACAAAGCACAAAGGCAGAACATTTCATAGGTAAGGTTTAGTTTTTTACGTTTTTGTATGTTCTGAACTTTTGTGCTAATCAGGTAACGTTATTGATGATAATACAGTCACTTACTGCATTCATCATAAGGCAAAGCAGCTCCAACTCGCACTAAACACTCATCTTATGCTAGTTTTGTTGAATAAAATCAGCAAGCAATGCCAAAGAAATATGACAACGAAATGCTGCGCTGCCAGAAACTTGAATTATTGTCGGCTAGTGAACGAGTCGTTCAAAACGGAGGTTAATTCACAAACGAATCGCTCCCTCCTTCAGTATGAGAAGTGAAAGCAGGAGAGGAGCTGTGTTTCAGGACATGTTTAGATCAAATTTAACAGGGAGGGTGGATGGTAAATTTCTGTACACACAAACACAAGCTTTTTGTCAGGAATGCCCGTGCGATCACTGATCCATCAATGTAGAAAAGTGATGTAAAATGAAAATTTTCGTAATTAAAAAGAAAAAATTGCATACTAACATCCAGGAAAACTCCCGGTCATAGATGTATGTGTATATGTGTATATCTCTGGCTTTGGATGGCCACAGTCCTCCACTGTACCTTGGTCTCGCATTCATTTCAAAGGAGCGCTACCCTGTTTCAAAATGGCGGCATTTAATGTATATATCTATGATATTTGACTAGATATTTTTTAAGATGCTAGTAGTCCGCTTAAAGTGATATTTAAAGGCTTAACTACGGTAATTGGGCAAGTTAAGGTAATTAAGCAAGTGTTTCATCTAGGATTTTTTTCCAGCTGTGGTAGCAGGCCTTTTACACAGATCTTCAAATTAAATCACTTTTATTGTCACATAGCGTGTGCTATGATAAGTGAAAAGCTTAGGTGCTGGCTCTAGATCACAGGTGTCAAACTCAGTTCCAAAAGGGCCGCAGCTCTGCACAGTTTAGTTTTAAACCCTAATTAAACACACCTGATCAAACTAATTAAGTCCTTCAGGCTTGTTTGAAACCTACAGGTAAGTGTGTTGGAGCAGGGTTGGAACTAAACTGTGCAGGGCTTCGGCCCTCCAGGAATTGAGTTTGACACCCCTGCTCTAGACAGTACAATAGTGCAAATACAATTACAGTGCAAATAAAATGACAGTATAAATACAACGACAGTGCAAAATACAACAGCATACTTCCAAAAGAAAAATAAACTGATATGTGCAATGAATGGGTGTCCACATAGTTGTTGTACTAGACAGTATTGTTTCAAGTATGGATTGGTTGTGCAGTGCATGCTACATATTGATGGTGTGCAGTGAGGGTATGGAAGAGTCTGTGTGGGGTCTGTTAAGTGAAGTTTCTTCCAACTACCTCTGTTGTATTGTGATGACAAATGTCGTGAGCGTAGTATTACAAGTCGAGATTGCATTCATGTAATACAAGCGGGGCTTGACATTAACTTTTTTTGATCACCTGCCACTGTGGCTATATTGACCTTTTAAAATGGTTTTTAAAAAAATTTAAAATGTCTTTTATTCTAGCTAAAATAAAACAAATCAGACTTTCTCCAGAAGGAAAAATATTATAGGAAATACTGTGAAAAATTCTTTGCTCTGTTAAACATCATTAATGAAATTTTAGAAAAAGAGAAATTTACAGCAAGGCAAATAATTTTGACTACAACTCCTGTATGATATGTATTTTCCTGTGAATGAAGCAAATCACACCTGTTTATTTATTTATTTGTTTATGATCTATTACAGCTGTACGAAAGTAAGCCGGACGTGGAGGAAAATAATTTGTCAGGATCAGTTGGCTCTTCAGCGCTGGAAAAAAGCAGAAAAAACACGCAGGGTAAGAATGGATGAACGTAACCCACACATTGATTCACTTCTGTGACACTTGCTGAAGGGATAGTTCACCCAAAAAAAAAGAAAATTCTGTCATCTTACTCATCCTCCACTCATTCTAAAGCCTGGTTTATACTTCTGCGTCAAGTGACCGGCGCAACTCACGGCGCAGGCAACGCGCGTGGCTGTGCATTTATACTTCTGCGCGCTGTCTCCGTTGGTCTGCATTAACACTTCCGAAACGCTAGTGGGCAGTGAGGTGTAAATGTTCCTCTGTGTCGAGTTTCTTCGCTTCTGTTTTGCTATTCTGAACACTTCCTGGATGTACAAGTGACTCAAACTCGCTCATTTTGAGGCAGGAACCGGCGGACGTACAACAACTTTAACCATGAGGTAAACACAGAACAAAACTTTCCATCCGGAGCTCCTTCACGGGACTCCACACTTGTAAACAATCGCTCGCGCCATTCGCGCGGCTCTCGGTCCCGCCCAGACTCGTCGGCGCTAGCAAGCCGACCAATCACAGAGCTTGCGCTACGCGTTGTTGCGACGTGTAGTTACAATTTTTGAGAGGTGCACGTCAGTGATGGCCACGGCGATGGGCTATGCGTCAGCGCCGTAGCATACGCCGGTGTTTGACGCAGAAGTATAAATCAGCCTTAAACCTGTTAGAGTAGCTTCTGTTGCATATACTAATATATTTTTGGGGGGGTGAAACAGTCATTAAATGTATACATTTTAACGTGTGTGTGTTTGTATAACCAGTTGGTCTTAAAATGAGAGGTCAGGCTAATGTTTCGATTTGAGCACAAGCGTCTGCTGGGTGAGACGCTAGTGTGGACGCGGATCGTTTTCATTCTAAAACATTTAAAACAAACTCACTAGTGTAAACAGGGCCTGAAAAGGCCTGTAATGAGTGTGACAGACAAAGGAGACATCCAAAACATGCAGTGCTGATGGTCTTCCAGGAATGTGCTTGAGAAACACTGGTATAGGGTATTATCATGATATTAACCACGCTAAAAAAAAAGGTTACTATAGCAAGTGTAATAATCCCAAATATGTGGTATTGTGTGTAAATACTTTGAGAGAAAATTAATGCTTTTAACAAATTAAATGAAGGCTTAATAAAATATAATAGCAGCTTTTAAAATCTCATTAGCAAATGTTTTTATAACAATAAAATCTAATTATTATTATTATTATTATTATTATTACTACTTTTTAAGGCTAATAAACCTTTCTGTAGTTGTCAGACTAACATGAAATGTAATATTTGTAAATTAATCACCTATAAAACACCTATAAAGTCGTCAAGAATTAAACACTATGTGGGCTGGTCTGATAAATTATCTCAAATCCTGATCAAATTTGTCAAATAACAATAAGCTCTGGACTTTTTTTTTTTTTTTACTTTATAAGGATCTAAGAACCAATCACACAGTAGAAATGTGCAACAATGGGAATCTAGAAGTGTGTTAATTATTAGAGATTGGTCAGATATTCCTGGATATTTGTAGCTCAAAACATCCATTTAGCTCCTTTTCGTTGTTTCCGGATCGTCCTTCATCATTGTGGTTTAGCTGTTTGAGTTCTGATGGTGTTTGTCTCTTGGTTTCAGGACTCGGGCCGGTCTATGGGATCTTTATCTCGAGACTTCACCTTGGACAGGGTGGTGTTCTCCTGCATGCAGACCGTTTCCTCTCCACCCGCTCACAAGGCTGTTAAGAAGCCGCCATGCCAGATGGGTGGAGCGCAAAATGCGACTAAATCAAGCCGGTTTCAACAGTATGTAGAGGTAAGGGGAACACAAACTAAACCAAACACCTTATGGTGCCTTTACACAGTTTGTATTTTCAGTTACTACCAAAGTACTGGTTATCTTATTTATTACATTTATACACTGCAAAACACTTTACTTAAGGTTTTTTTGGGGGGTTTCTAGTCCAAATAGCTAAATCAGGTCAAGAAGCATTTTTAAGACCAGTACAATAAATGTTTTGTACTAATATTAAGTCAAATCTAAGTGAGCTTTACCTTAAAACAAGGTAAATAATCTGCCAGTGGGTTAAGAAAAATTATCTGGCAACATTATTTTACTTGTTTGTGTTTCAAGTTGCTAACAACTAGTGTTTTTGTACATTTATACACTGAAAGTTATTGTTTTGTTTGGTTTCTAGTCTAAATATCTCAATTTTAAGTCATGAAGCAATTATTTTAGACAAGTAAATTAAATATTGCTTTTGTTTTCAGAAATAGTGAATCAAGTTTTAGTGAGTTTTACCATAAATCAAGCTAAATAATCTCCCTGAAGGAAAGTCTTGCAAGATTGATATGTTCTTATTTCCATTGCATGGATATTTTCCTTTATAAATGGCATGCAAGTTGGTATTAAATAGGTTTTAACTTGGTAAACTTTGTAGATGCCCTGTATCAAGCAGGGTGTCTGCAGAGTCCTAAAAAGAATTTAAAGATGATAAATTAATATAGAGATATTTAAGGCCCTTTAAAGCTATTATGCAAGGTATTCATTTATATGATTTTTGATTATGCAATTTATGATTCTATGCTAAAGCTTGCATGAATTAAACCTGCAACTATCAGGATGCTGTGAGGTTTTAAAATCAGTAAAATCCTGCTAGATTGGACATCATGCTGCTTTGTTTACTGCAGTAATCAAGGCAACACCATTATTTCTGCAGTTCCACAGGCATCAACCTCCTGAGTTGGCTAGATTTAATAGATTTTTATTCAATATATGAATAATAGTTTTGGATTAATTTCTTACAGTATATTTACTAAATATTAATGCATTTTAAAATCTCGCCAGTGTTTCTGGTTCAAAAGTGGTTATAAGGTCTTAAAATGTATTGAATTTTTACTCTGAGGCCCGTATATACTCTGTCAAGGTTATTTTGGTAAACTAAAGCCTGTTTCACACCGCAAGCGTGAGCAGCACGTGTTTTTTGGCGTCCATGTTAACAGATTAAAGCTTTCATACAGCACACAGAAGCAATGAAGCAGCAGTGCTGCGATGGTTTCGGTGCTGGGTGTATTTTTGCTGCTCACACTCAAAGTGACTGTGTTAATAATGACCTAAAACACATTGAAAGACAGTTAAAAAGCAGCGATTTTACTCAAATGCATAGATAATATCCAAAGATTTTTATATATTTAATCAAATGAACTTAAATGGTTCAAATTGGCAACATATTTATTTGGGCCCGAACTACAAAACCAAATTTAAAAGACTGTTGATTTAAGTTTTGTTTAGTTAGTTGCACTCTAGTTTGATCATGTAAAAAAATCATTATAACTATATTGTAAATCTATGTAGGCCTACATCATCCCGACAATCAAAAACAAAATGACATGATATCACACGCGATTTGTCTTTTGACCGAGTGTACCTGAAAAGACATGAATGACTTTAGGAAAGTTCTTCGGGATCTTTGTAATTGTAAAATAAAGACTTTCAAGTTAAGGAAACAGCACAGGATGACGTTGCCGCAGGCCTTGGTTCAGATGAAAAGTGTAAAGAATGTATTTATAGATAGATGGATGGGTAACTAGATAGAATAGACAGAGATAGATTGATCTGTGCAACAGATCGTTGTGAAAGGCAGAAGCAATGTGCAGGCGTTTGCCCTCCATATGCGCTGCGCACGCTGCTGCAACAAACGAAACTGTTAAACATGTACACTTGTAGTTTTAAGATGATTGACAGACATTGATTTTTACCTGGAGAGACTTTAAATCCTTCCAGGATTGTAGGATCATCAAAAGTAAACCTTAAACTGTTAGATTTCTGTCATTGTTGTTGTTATTTTATATATTCTTATAGATTATTTATTGCTTCTGATTGTACTTTTTTGTTAAAATATTTTCAATAGTTATAGAAATATAGAGAGATTATAAAAAAAAATGAATTATTGTTTTTAAATATAGAAGTTTAATTTATAGAAAAGTTTTCATTATTATTTAATTTATTTATTTTTTGTCATGATATAGCGAGAAATGCTGACATGGCAACAAACTTAACTCTCTCCCTCTCCCTCTCTCTCATAGGCAGCACAGTCTCTGAAACAGCATGAATCCCTGCGGCGCTGCTCCCGCTGCAGTTCTCCGGCACGCTTTGATGCAGTAATGCAGAGGGCCGTTTGCACACGCATCAGCTGCGCCTTTGAGTTTTGCACATTGTGTCAATCTGCTTTCCATGACTCCACTCCGTGCCGAAACACCATCCGGAGTTTTTCCTCCACACAAAAAACACTGGTTGCCGGCTCCGCTCGAAGCAAGAGGAGCATCCGTCGCCTCTGAGCGCCACATAAGAGGAAAAAAAAGCAATGTTACAAGAACTTTAAAAAAAAAACTACCTGTTGGGTTCTTAATCGATTTAAAAGACTTTTAAACATGTGAATATTTTATCTTCCAGAATGTGAAGTGAATTTTGGCCACGTGTGTGGTCACCGCACAGAGTGAGAGAAGGAGAAAAAAAAAAGAAAAGAAAATACAATCCTGTATGCCAAAAGAAAAGACTTGAAGGAGGTCAAACAGCCTCTCAAGGTTTTGTAAATGCTGTTTTATAAGATTTTATAAATGTTTTATCAATGAAATGAAGCATTGCTGTTTGTCTTAATGTAAATATTTAAATGGTTGAATAAAGCCTATGTATATTTTTAATCTTTGGTTCTTTTCTCTATATAATTGAGCTATTTTTAAAGGGACAGTTCACCCAAAAATGAATATTGTGCCAAAAAAAGCATGTTTGAGTTTCTATCTTCTGTCAAACACAACATATTTTGCAGAATGCTGGTTGATGGCACCCATTGACTTCCATTGTAGTTGTTCCTGCTATGGAAGTCAATGAGTGCCAGCAACCAGCAGAAAGAAACTCCTAGATGTTTAAACCACATAACTGAGAGTAAAAGGAAGTCAATACAATTTTTTTTATTTTTTTTATTTTATTTAATAAAGCCTTGATTATTTTTAATCTTTGGTTCTTTTCTCAATATATTTGAGTTTTTTTTTTTTTTTTTTTTTTTTTTTTTTTTTTTAAAGGGATAGTTCACCCCAAAATGATTATTGTGCCAAAAAAAAAACGTCTTGAGTTTCTATCTTCTGTCAAACACAAAAGAAGATAGTTTAAAGGATGCTTGTTGCTGGCACCCATTAACTTCCATTGTAGTTGTTCCTGCTATGAAAGTCAATGGGTGCCAGAAACTAGCAGAAAGAAACTCCTAAATGTTTAAACCACACGACTGACAGTAAATGAAGTAATTTTTAATTTTTAGTTGAATAAAGCCTTGTCTATTTTTAATCTTCATGGCACCCATTGACATCCATAGCAGGAAAAACTACAATGGAAGTCAATGGGTGCCAGCAACTATAGCAGAAAGAAACTCCTAAATGTTTAAACCACATGACGGAGAGTAAATGAAGTGAATTCTATTTTTGGTTTATTAAAGCCTTGTATATTTATAATCTTTGGTTCTTGTCTCGATAATTGAGCTCCTTTAAAAGGGATTGTTCGCCCCAAAATTTTATTGTGCTGGAAAACCATGTTTGAAATTCTCTCTTCTGTTAAACACAAAAGAATACATCTTGATGAATGCTGGTTGCCGGCACCCATTGACTTCCATAGTATCCTTTTTGTTTTTGTTTTTTTTTACCAAGTCAGTGGGGTGCCAACAACAAGCAGAAAGAAACTCCTATATGTTTAAACCACACGACGGAGTGTAAATAAAGTAATTTTTTATTTTTGGTTAAATAAAGCTTTGTATATTTTTAATATTGATGGCACCCATTGACATCCATAGCAGGAAAAACTACAATGGAAGTCAATGGGTGCCAGCAACTATAGCAGAAAAATACTCCTAAATGTTTAAACCACATGACGGAGATTAAGGCCCGGTTTACACTAATGCGTTTTCATTTTAAAATGCGTAAGTTTTGCTACGGTTATGCTATTCATCCACACTACGCCGGAGTTCTCGGGTGCGAGAGGCCGTTTTCATTCTGAGACGCTGCTGCTCCGTCTCAGTGTGGATGAGCAAAAACGGAGACATCTGAAAACGGAGGCGGGACTGCTGAGATTCGCTACCTGATTGGGGCTTTTGTGTCATTGCGTATCCTTCCCTTATTGGTCAAGCCTCTATCACATGACTATAACACATGGCTTTAATGCTACCGGAAGACGGTACTGTAAACAACAACATGGACACAGAAATGGGAGCGTTGTTTGGACTATTATCTGTTTTAGGCGCCATTGTGCAGTTATTCATTTGTTACGTTTAGTAACAACTCAACCTCGTCGTCTGTCCACAAAAACACCTCTCTTGCTTTCTTTGCCATCGCGTTTAATGTTTGAACAGTGTTTGTTGACTAACAATAACCAAATGCCGAGCGAGACGCATGCGTTCTGTTTATACTAGAACGCGCATGCCCAGAGTGCGAGAATGGTCACGTGATATACGTTTTTGGTGGCGTAGTGTGGACGAAGATATGGGCGCTAGGTAAAACGCAAGTGTGGACGCGGATCGTTTTTGATTTAAAACGCTGTTTAAACTCACTAGTGTAAACGGGGCCTAAATGAAGTGATTTCTATGTTTGGTTGAATAAAGCCTTGTTTCAAGAGTTCACACTTAGCTGATGATTTATAAAAGCTTGTTTGGCATGCTGTCCCGGGAGAGAGCCCCGAGCTCAAGGGGTCCTCGAGCTTCCTCCCGTTGGCAGACCGAGAGGGGAGCCTGAGCTCGGTGGATCTCAGAACTCCCCTGCTGCGGTAGCTAAGGGAACACAAGGGATTAGACAAAGCTTGATTGTTATGTATGTTGAATGTCTTTGGATGGTGGGAGGAAACTGGAAAACCCACGCGGACACGGGGAGAACATACAAACTCCTCACAGAAACACCCACCGGTCCTGTGGAACCAGGGCTGGCAGTGTTCTTGCTGTGGGGCTCACAGTGCTAATCACTGGGCCGCCGTGCCGCCCAATCAGAGGTAAAGGAGGAGAATAGGGGAGGAGGGGGGGTTTCTTCCAAACGAAGATAAAGTGAACTGAAAACTGTGGCTCTTTATAGTAGCTTAGGGCTCATATGATTGGAAGATAGCGATTAGCAAATGCGAGACCGGACGTGATAAATCATAAGCACGTGATCCTCTCGAAATTAGTCTATGAATAAACTTTACATATTTTAATCCTTGGTTCTTTTGTCGTCTCGCTATAACTGCCTTTTTAAAAAGGAATAGTTCACCCGAAAATTTAAATTGTCCCAAATAATTGGTTGAGTTTGAACACTAAAGAAGATATTTTTAAGAAGAACTGGTGGCACCTGTTGACTTCCATAGTATCCTTTTCTTACAGTGGAAGTCAATGAGGACCAGCAACCAGCAGAAAGAAACTCATAAATTTTTAAACCACATGACTGAGAGTAAATGAAGTCATTTCTATTTTTGGTTGATCAAAGCCTTAAATATTTTTAATAATAATAATAAAAAAACATGGTTAAGTTTTTTATCTTCTGTCAAACACTAAATATATTTAGACGAATGCTGGTTGCTGGCATCCCTTGATTTCCATATCCTGTTTTTACTATGGAAGTCAATGGGTGCCAGTAACCAGCAGAAAAAAAACTCATAAAGGTTTAAATCCCACATGATGGAGATTATTCATTCATTCATTTTCTTGTCGGCTTAGTCCCTTTATTAATCCGGGGGCGCCACAGCGTAATGAACCGCCAACTTATCCAGCAAGTTTTTATGCAGCGGATGCCCTTCCAGCCGCAACCCATCTCTGGGAAACATTCACACACACACTTATTCACTACGGACTATTTAGCCTACCCAATACACCTGTACCGCATGTCTTTGGACTGTGGAGAAACCGGAGCACCCTGAGGAAACCCAGGCGAACGCAGGGAGAACATGCAAACTCCACACAGAAACGCCAACTGAGCCGAGGCTCGAACCAGCGACCTTCTTGCTGTGAGGCGACGGAGATTAAACAAAGTGATTTCTGTTTTTGGTTAAATAAAGCCTTGAATATTTTTAATCTGGTTCTTTTGTCGTCTCGTTATAACTGACCTTTTGAAAAGTTTTTTAAAGAGATAGTTCACCAAAAAATAATAAAAATATTTGACATGTTTGAGTTTCTATCTTCTGTCGAACACAAAAGAAGATATTTTGAAGAATGCTGATTGAAGGTACCCATTGACTTCCATTGTAGTTGTTCCTGATATTGAAGTCAATGGGTGCCAGCAACCAGCAGAAAGAAACTCCTAAAGCTTTAAATCCCACATGATGGAGATTAAATGAAAGGATTTCTATTGTTGGTTAAATAAAGCCATGAATATTTTAAATCTTTGGTTCTTTTGTCGTCTCGTTATAACTGACCTTTTGAAAAGGAATAGTTCACCTGAAAATGAAAACTGTCCCAAAGACATGTTTGAGTTTCTTTCTTCTGTTGAACACTAAAGACGGTATTTCGAATATTTATTATTTAAGATATTTGAAATATCGATATTTATGTTTCCTTGTCTTACTATGGAAGTCAATGGGTGCCAACAACCAACAGAAAGAAACTCATCAATGTGTAAAGCACATGATGGGGAGTAAATGGAGTAATGTTTTTGGTTGAATAAAGCCTTGTATATTTTTAATCTTTGTTTTTTTTGTCATCTCCTTATAATTGAGCTCCTTTTGGTACATCCAAAAATTTTAATTGTGCCAAAAACATGTTTGAGTTTCTATCTTTTGTTGAACACAAAAGAAGATGGCTGGCACCCAATGACTTCCATTGTTCTTCCATCTATTTGAGGGTGAACTATCCCTTTCAGTCAAACCTGAAAGAGTATTTATTGTAGATAGCTTATTGCATGTTTTATCATCTAAAGTCACATGACTTAAATGTCTGAAGTTCCCTGAGCTCACAAAAGCAGTATTTTTTAAATCCAAAAATAACAAATAAAACTTTTGTGTTTTGATTTAATATTCATAATCTCAGGTTCACGTATTCCCATATTTAAATGATCTTTTAAAAATAATTAGCTAAATATTGTTGAATGTGTGTGCTGCACTAATAAAAACTAAACTTTATTTAGGATTCTTTGATGAACCGAAACAAAAAAGAAAAAACATTCATATTTGAAATAAGAGTCTTTTACGAAACATTTTTATCAGCAGTGAATGCATCCTTGTAGAATAAAAGTAATTATTTCTCACTCACTTAAAGTTTGAAAGGTAGCATGAGTATAGAAAATTGTATAAATACTATGATGTTGAGTGTTTTAGCCATTGTAAATTTGTGTTTCAGTAACTTCAACAGATGCATCTGAATCTCTTCAACATGATGTCATGTTCAGTGTAAAAGAAAGGTGATAGACTACAAATTTTAGTTCACTTTTGTTTTCATATTTCATCAAGTCAAATTTTTATTTTTATTTTATTCTTTATATTATCATGAGCTAATTTTTTTTTATTTCTTAAGCTTATATACACTTGTCTTGGTAAAAGACAAATGTTTTTTATTTGAAAAATAAGATTACTCTGCTGAAAGTATTTTGAAATAGTTTGCCCAAAAATTAACATTTACTTACTGTTTACTCACTCAGGTGGTCCTAAACCTTCATATAGTTTCTTTCTTAAACACT